TTCTTTGCTTATCTCACTCTCATTACTAATAGGCCAGCTTCTTGGGATTGATGCCACTACGGTCCTTTTCGAGCTTGTGGGTTTCCTTGACAAGTGTGGTGAGTGTTTGATTTCATTTTGTATGAACATTCAATTTAGGCTTGGACTGATTTTTGAAGTATTGGAATGATCATGCATATATTTTTAGAATCGGTTAATTTGTCACTTCATTTACTTTTTCTTGCATTTAAAGGTTGGAATGAATTGTATTTTGAACTCCTCTTGACATTGTACTGGGTGCGCGGTTGTATAAATTTCTTAGGTTCTAGCAGCCGAGTCCAGGTGCATTGAGGATGCCATAAGATGTGGAGGTCTTGCACCAACAAAGTCTTCTTGTATAAAGAATATATTGAAATGCTTGATAGAGAAAAAAGGAAAATTGTGCTTGGAGTATCTAAGAGATTTGTCTATTTAGTCATTTACCATGTATTGCCATAAGAATAATTATTAGAGTGATTAGGAGAGTGATGACCTACAATAAACACAAGGTAATAACTTGAAGTTTCACGACAAAAAATTAATTACATTTTGCATTTTTTGAGCTTGTTAAAAATTACAGCCTTAATTTTTTTTTAAAGTACACTTAAATTAATTACTGATTACTGTCATATTAGTTTTATTTTCTTTCCATTCTTTATTTTCTTTCTATTCTTTATTTTTCTTTCTATAAAGTGCTATCATTGAGCTTGGTTTGGGAGTTTATAAGGAATCGGACACTTGCAATCCAGTTTACCTAACCTTTCTTCCCATGTTTATTTGCACTCATCCTTTTTTTTGTATTTTTTCTTACTATTCTCTTATTTTCACTTCCACCAGTATGAAAGTCCCTTGTATGGAGATGTTTTTAGCGTTTTGCAACAAGACCAGCCTAATTATGAGGTGAAAACCAGTCCCTCATGAAAATTTCGTAAATGATTTTTTTTTTCTCCCCATGATGATATTCCAATTCATGTGTCTGCTTTTGTGCTTAAGATTTAACTTATCCAACTTCATCATATTGAGCTGATTTTCAGGAGGAACCAGTTGATAAGACAAAGCATTGGGGTGATTTAGCAACAAAACATAAATCATGTTTTTGTTAATTAATAATAGTCTTGAAGCTTCTGGCTATGTCAAACTGATACCATTGACAACTTCACTTAATAAAATATGCAATTATTATTTGAGTTCACTTAATAAAAGAAGCAGAAAAATCAAGCAAAAATATGGCGGTGCAAAACTGACGTAGAGAAATGAGTCAGTTTTATGTTTATAACTTTGTCTGCATCAGAGGCATACATGAACCTGAATACTTGTTTTTGTATCTTCAACAGATACGGAATGAGTCAAGGTACAACAATTTAAATGAACAGCACATAATTTTGCTGTGTGGTAGTTGAGAAACGTTTCGTTTGTAGCTACTAAATTTACCTGTACTATGTTCCATTTGTATAATCAAAGTTCAACTATTACGATCTTCTCAACATGAAGCTCAACTACTAATAGGCTTATATTTTTAGGAATATATGCCATGCCAATTTATAGATGTCAAAGCTTTATTCTCTGAAGTGAAATATATCGAAAATGTGGAGAAAGTCAATCTCATTAATTGTTCTTCATGCTATTAACTCCCAGTTACTGTAACTGAATCTGTTAAATTTTGTATTATTTGATTAAAATGGGACCAAGAGATTCTTATTATCGAACGAAGGGGAAAATGGTACTAGAAGATAGGGGTACTTTCATTTCATGCGATAATAACTATAGGTTGTGCTTCTTAGTAAGATCAAGCTGGAACAATGATTGGTATGCTGACGATTTTCAGTTAATGCTGGATTCTGTCTGTATGTCTGCTTTTCCCTCACAAGGACATTCTT